GAAGAGTTCTTGAAGAAGGGAGGCATGATTGACTGTGTCAAATGCTTTGCTGAGATCGAGAAAAGCAGCGACAACAAATTGGCCCTTGTCTAGACATGCTTGCCAGTCGTTTGTTGTCGTGGCTAAAAGATCTTCGCAGGAATGCTGCTTGCGGTAGGCGAACTGTTCATTCGGCAACGCGTTCGGAAATGATTCACCTTGTATGTGCGACATGATCTGCTCATGCGCGCACCTCTCCAGCAGCTTGGAAGCGATCGGGAGGAGGGAAATAGGTCGATAATTACTGGGATCAGATGAACTCCCGCGCTTGTGAATTGGACGAACGTTGGCAATCTTGTATAAAGAGGGAAAAATACCTGATCTGAAAGAGATGGTGAAGAGCTGGGCAAGAGAGGGAGCGATTTGTTTCTGGAGGAGTTTGTAGATGGACGGAGGTATTTTATCTGGACCACTTGCTTTGTGGCTGTCAAGGCGTTTCAAATGGGACACTATGGTTGCTGCTGACACCGGTTCAAACTCAGTGAGGGACGGCTCTGGCATTGGTCCGATCGGTAGTTTGATACCTGTGCCTGATCGTGAGGGTGCACTCGAAGCGCGCTGTGGAGCGGTCGGTGATACGTTGAGGTGTCCAAAGGTCACGGTGCTAGCTGCACCTGCAGGTGTTGCTGGGGCAGGGGCTCGAGGTGAGACTATCCTGGCGAACGTTGCTGAAATGTCTTTGACTGAGGCATGGGGCTCATGGTACACAGTTGTTCTCCCAAGCAAAGAGTTGATTGTTTTCCACTGTAGCCTTGGGTTGCGATTGTTTCGAGTCAGTTCGTTTTGGAAATACGCAGCTTTCTTTCTTCGCATGAGGAGTTTACTTTCGCGCCTTAGAGTACGGAAAGCCTGAGTTAGACGTTGATCATCCGGTGTCTGTATCATTTTCCTATGTGCTCTTTTCCGGCGATAGAGTAATTGCCTTAGTTCACCGTCCACCCAAAGAGAAGGTTTGTATCGTGGTGACGTGGTGATGGTCGTGGTCGGACAATGCTTGTCAAGGGTGTCAGCTATTGAGGTTTGGAATAGGGCAATGTGCTCGTTTAGAGTGATCTCAGATGGCGAAGTGTTGTTATTATGGAGAGCAGTCAAACTGGAGCTAATGTCGTCTTGGAATTGTTGAATGTTTATCGCTCGAACTGGAGGCTTACGAATAGTAATGCGTTCTTCTTTGAATGTTCGTAGCATGGTAGATAGCTCGAGAATGACAAGTTGGTGGTCAGATACGTCGCATGGTTGAACGGAGCATGTGATGGAATTGACATTGTTTCCACGCGGCTGTGAGTTTGGCAACTGAGCAAGCAGGTTAGGTACTAATGCGAGATCAATGGTGGAGTTGCTCGGCAGCCTCGTGGGGGCGAGTACCACGTTTCGTAAACTGTTATCGCTGCAGAAGGTTTGGAGGTGGGTGTAGTGTGGGTGATTGTGGTTCTGAACATTGACATTGAAATCACCAATGACTATCGTGTGCGATTTTGCTGCTGTGGATCCTGAGATGTTGTCCACTGTATCAGTCAGTTTCTGCCAGAATATGACAGGCGTGGACGGCGATCTGTATGCAGCAATAATGTTTAGTGTGATTTCTTGAAGACGTACATGTATCGACACTGCTTCTATATCGTTCGTGATCCCTATTCGATTGTGCTGCAGTCCATCACGGACATAGATGCATACTCCTCCCCCAGTCTTGTCTTGTCGGTCTCGCCGATAAATGCTATAGCCACGGAGGTGTACGGAGTTGTTAGGCACAGTGTTGGTCAACCAAGTCTCCGTTATGGCTAGAATATCTACTTTATGGTGATGCATTAGGTAATGAACTTCATTTAACTTGTGAAAAAGACTACATACATTGATATGAGCAATACTTAGCTTTGAGGTTATTATTGGCGTTGCTGGGGATGCCCGGGCTGAGTCCTATTGGGAAGTATTGAGCATACGGGCAATGTCCTCTGTGGATAGAGGTTTTCCGCTGTGCATGATAACATCCCGGGGCAGGTGGCACTGAACTCCCTTGTCCCTAAGAGCTCGGAGCTTAGGGACAAGTGCTCTCCGCCGTTGTTGCTCTTGCCGGGTCAGGTCATGCTGGATGTAGACTTTCTCACCGCGGTAAGTAGCTTTCGTTTTATGTTGCATGAGCTGAGACTTGGCTTGAGGCGTCAGGACAACATGTACAAGGCGAGCCGGTCTCACGCCAGTGTGCTGGCCTGTAGTACTGGCTGTAGCACTTGTGTTAGCTGTGCTGGCAGTGTCACGGCGCGGTTGCTGGCCTAGGCGGGTAGCAGACTTGATCTCACTCAGCGCTATGTTTGGCGCGAGGCTTCCAATTATGGCCGGGAGGTTCTCTGAGCTGCTCTCTGTCAGGCCGCGTACCACAACATTGTGAACCCTGCTGCACTTGTCGGTAGCTTCCGCCACAAGGTCACGGAGTGTCGCTTCTGGTGTGCCTTGTATGGGCGTATCCACCAGATTTTGGCAGGTGGCTGTGGCGACAGGATGGCGGGCAGTGATGGTGGCGAACGTCTCCTTTACCTCTGCAATGGCGGTCTTGGCGCCGTTCTCCACCCTCACTACATCGTCGGAACATTTGTCGACAGCTGTCCTGAGCCGACGATTCTCCGCTGACAGGCGGTTGATGTCAAGGCGCTGCTCGCTGACTGTCGTGTGAAGGTCATCAAATTTCTTCAGTAGGCCGGCCAAAGTGTCTTTTACAAGAGACTTCAGCTCGGTCCGGAGCTGCGCCTGGAAACTGTCCAGCATTACCTTCATCTGGCTCACGACTACTTGGCTGTCACGATCACTAGCACTGGGACTGTCGCTGGTTTGGTCCAGTGTAGCGCCCGACTTGCAGGCTGCCTTGCGTGTCCCTGACATGGGCCGGTCGACGCTCTCAGTGCTTGGGCACAGACTCTCGCTCGGGCTCTCAGGCTTTCGTTTGGTGGGCTTTGCCCTCGGCGTCGAGTCAGATGGTTCCCCGGAAATATCACTACTACATGAGCTGCGTGAAGAGCCACCCTTTTCACGGCCAGCGTTACTGGGGGTGGTTATCTTCCGGACAAACTTTTTCATTGCACACTCAACAAGGTTCCCTATTGAATGAATATCAAAGCCCGCTCTCCGAGGCTGCTGATTGGTCGTAACCTAGCAAAGGGCACGTGGGTCGTTTGAACGACTGATCTTGACTGCTTATTCTGGCCGCTCATTGGCCGTCTCCTGGCAACAAGCACGTGCCATGTCTGAACAAATGATCCCTGCAAGCACCACACGGCAGACGTCCGAGGCCATGTCCATTGCCGGGATGTCCATCTCCAAAAAGAATTCCATCTTCGTCTCAATGCTACACTGCGACTCGTCGTAGAGTCGTACAGTCTACAGAGTCGTCGTACGATCGTAGTCACCTGGTCACGCGATCACTGAAATAAACTATTTTTTTGCGGGCAAATAAACTATTTTTTTGCGGGCAATATCGCATATTATTGCCCGCGGCGCGAAAGGTGCTGATTCGCTGGAGTACGGGCAACAATCACGTGCCATGTGATAATAGATACTTATAGTGGTTTGAATCAGGGAGTAGTTCCGTGTGACTAAACACAACATTACGTGGGTGCCCTTCATCCACTTTACGTGGATCACCCACGTACGCGTTTCCGTTACGTGGGAACTAAACCTCCCTAAGGCCAAGTAAAAAAAAAAGCTAGATGATCGTCCCCGTCCGCCCCAGTTTTTGTCAGCGCCCCAAGAAATATTTTATTTTTTAAATCGTGAGTTTTACTATATGGACCACATACTACTAGTATATCACAACGTCAGTATCGATCTGCTGAAGAAAGAAAAAGAAAAAAAGAAAAAAAAAGAAAAAAGAGAAAAAAAACCTTGATGTTGTTGTGTACACTGTGTGCATGAGAGGGTAAAAAGTAAAAAAATAAAAATAAAATCCTCCCGCCCTCCCCGATTTTTCCAAAAAAAAGGACGATCATCTAGTAATTTTTTTTACTCGGCCTAATACCGGTATTGTACTACTCCCTAGGCCCTGGTTTGAATGCTCATTGCACCACGCTGGTCTTGGTTTGAACGCCAAGTACTAGCAAGATTAAAGGGGAAGTATACCCTAAAATCAAATTTTTACCAGTTGTAGTCTTCGGGGTGCTGAGTCGATTGGTCTTGGTCAGAGGAAGCTGAGACGCTCCCTTCCTACTTGAATCCCAATCGAACTCGCGCACTTCCACCGAAACTGGGTGACTGCGCCCTACTAGATGGGGATTTGTATGCAAAATGTCACTAAAAGCGCCATTTCGTTCTTATAAAAGCACGGATGACCGCGATTGGCCCATATGTTGTACTCTTTTGGACGCTGAGTCGACTGGTTTTGGTCCGAAGAGGCTGGGATGCAGCGTTCCTCCTTTATTCCCAATCGAACATGGTTGAACAAGTGGTCACGTGCTCCTGCGTACACCAGTCAGCTGGTCACCGTGCCTGCAGGGTACAACTTACTAGCCTGTTTGACCTTTTTTGGGTGCAGTCCTGTCACTCGAGTTGAACTTTGGTGTGAAAGTTGTCGCCTGCTGGCGCGGTGACCAGGTGATTTGGGCAACCAGGACCACGTGACCGCTTCTTCAACCATGTTCGATTGGGAATAAAGGAGGAACGCTGCATCGCAGCCTTTTCGGACCAAAACCAGTCGACTCAGCGTCCAAAAGACTACAACATATGGGCCAATCGCGGTCATCCGTGCTTTTATAAGAACGAAATGGCGCTTTTAGTGAGATTTTGCATACAAATCCCCATCTAGTAGGGCGCAGTCACCCAGTTTCGGTGGAAGTGCGCGAGTTCGATTGGGATTCAAGTAGGAAGGGAGCGTCTCAGCTTCCTCGGACCAAGACCATTCGACTCAGCACCCCGAAGACTACAACTGGTGAAAATTTGATTTTAGGGTATACTTCCCCTTTAAGAGTACATAACCCCCCGTACTCTTGGTACTAGCAAGAGGCCGAGCTCGCGAGGATGTGTGCTTGATCCATAAAGTCTGTGGTTTTCAAACTGTTCGTGCATTTTTTTGCAATTTTGAATTTTTGGTGCGATCATTCATAGTTCCAAGGGTGCATAAATGGATAGTTCTCATCTCATCTAGTAGAGTGACCTGCCGATAGCGGCTATAAGCCACTGCCTCTTCTCAGTCCCACTCTGGACTGTGCTGATCTGCAGTCGGCGAAGCAGACCTCAACAGCCAAGGAGTCCGAATGACGAGACGCCCCGGCTGTCGAAAATCAGGACCTGAACATCGTGGTTAGGCATTGAACGAATGAATGAATGGGGATTCGCTTGCCAGTACTACTAGTAGTGTTTGTTGCCAGTGAGCCAGAGTTCCCATGCTAGCAAATCCGAAGATACAGGGATAGAGGTGAGAGATACACTAGTAGTAGTAGTAGCATGTGACTAGATTTCAGGTGGAATGGTGAAAGCAGAAGTCGTTCACTTCTGAAGGTTTAAAATTATTTTTAATAGACAGTGTGGAAATGGCTTGAGTGCGTAACCAGCTCAGTTGAATACCGTGACACATACAGCGTGACTGTTGCAGGCGGTGACGCGCAGCTGGCCCAGTTGATCTGCGAGCACGAGTGTGATCCACGTAGCCATAGTGTCCATTGAGTTATCCTCACAGCCAACAATGGGACGACGGCTCGCCACGGATTTGCGCTCTTGTTGCCCCGTACGAGCCAGTGGACGCGGCTGGTGTTCTACACGTAGGCATTGCTTGACCATACTAGGCATTCTTGCCACCACTCTAGCAGCTTTAACCCTCCTCATGCATGATCACCATTCATACAGCGCTCGAGGAAAGGAATACTTTCGGCAGTCACGCAGGACAATAGATCTTCACAGTGACCATCGGCAATTAGTGGCCAGCAATGTGAGCAAAGTATCCACACAGCCGGCAACCATTAGCACAATGACATCACCAGCAGGACAATCACTTCATTATGATGTCATAACACCTAAATTACATCGTGATGGCAACACACTTTCTGAATTACATCATCATGGTAGCACCACGCCTTCATCCAGGAGCAACATCAATGGTGCGATTCATGTGGTGGTCGTGGCGTGTGGGTCTCACACAGAGCGTGCCACGGTCGCACTCAAGTCGGCAGTGATGATGTCCAGGACTCGTCTTCACCTGCACGCTTTCTCTGACTCGGAGAAGACGCGACAAGAGATCAGCACTGAGCTGGCTAGCTGGCCTGACGTGAAGTCCGGCAGAGTGACGCACAGCACACACAACCTGCTCTACCCAGCCGGTGAGGATGTAGCGGCGTGGAAGTTCCTATTCCGCCAGTGTGCCACAGTGCGCCTGTTCCTGGCCGACATTCTCGCTGGCGTTGACAGCATACTGTACGTCGACTCAGACGTCTTGTTCTTTTCTCCCGTGGAGGGGATATGGTCATTGCTCCACCACTTCAACACTTCACAGCTTGCCTCGATGACACCGGAGCACGAGGAGAAGTCCATTGGTTGGTACAACCGACATGGCAAGCACCCATACGTTGGCAAGACGGGACTTAACTCAGGAGTCATGCTCATGAATCTGACGCGCATGCGCACGTTCCGCTTCGCCGACGGCAAGGGCAATTTGCTGACATGGTCACAAGCCATCGTGAAAGTTTACCATGAGTACAGAAATGTGATCACGTGGGGCGACCAGGATATCCTTAACATCTTCTTTCACTTCAACCCGGCGCAGCTCTACATACACGAGTGCGAGTGGAATTACAGGCCCGACCATTGCATGTACAGGCCGTTTGCTGGATGCCCGGCAGCCGAGCGCAACTCCACCATCCGCTTGCTGCATCTCAATCGCAACGCTGCAGTGACACCGCGATGGGGCCTGGGCTTCGGCGCGGTCTACTCCGTGTTCATCTCACATGGTGGCGTGTCCATCCTACCAGGAAACCAGAATTTGGTTTCTGCTCTCAAGAAGAAGCTTAACGTTGTACAAGAAACCAAGGGCTGTGGAACGATCAACAGCGTATTGATAGCAGCCCTTGCCAATGGCATCAGCCAGATTAGGTAGTGCTTGCAGCCTCAATATTCAAATTTCTCTGTTGACTCATAGAAAGGTCTCCCAACAGGTTGGAAAGTTCAGCTCCCTCAACCTTAAGAACGGGTTAGGAAGATGAGCGTTTCACACATTTCCAATTTGATTTCTTACTTCAGTAGAGAGCAATGGAATGCATACATACATACTGATATGACGTATCCCCTATCCTCTGACTATGACTCCACGAATGCCCAAGTTTGAGTACACTACTTCTAAAATAAAATTTTGTTTGAAGGAAAGATGCAAACGTTGAACGTTTTTCCCCCTGAGGATAAATTTGGTGAGTTCAATTATTTATTTAATTTGAAGTGACGTATGCAGCGGAGAGATCGTATTTGGAAAGTTCGAGTTGCTGTACACTAATTATGAAAGATGCAAACGGGAAAACTAACTCATTACTTCGTATACTTGATACTGTATTTTATCTTGAAACTCCCTGGAACTTTCGTATTGTTCGCAGACTCTGACACAGCCACTTGAACATGTGTGAAACTTCGCTTCTCAACTCAAATAACAAGTCTCTTCAATGCACATCAAATACATTTATACTTCACCAAATTCCGGTCACGGCCTGGCCCATCATCATGGTCAATAACTTCCTGAACCATCTAAATTTAGTTTAGTTTTATTCCAAGCAATACATGGCTGGGGTAGCCAATGACCACTTTGCGTGGAAAAACTTGCTTATCCTACGATGCCGGTCAAATTCATGGTGATAAACAGGGTAGATGTCTGTATTTCGTGACAAAAAAAACTGGGTGCGGCTTATACTCCACAAAATACGGTATACGCCTCTTTGGTTTACAACTCTTTCTGGTTAGGCCAAGTAAAAAAAAAAGCTAGATGATCGTCCCCGTCCGCCCCAGTTTTTGTCAGCGCCCCAAGAAATATTTTATTTTTTAAATCGTGAGTTTTACTATATGGACCACATACTACTAGTATATCACAACGTCAGTATCGATCTGCTGAAGAAAAAAAAATAAAAAAAAATAAAAAAAGAGAAAAAAACCTTGATGTTGTTGTGTACACTGTGTGCATGAGAGGGTAAAAAGTAAAAAAATAAAAATAAAATCCTCCCGCCCTCCCCGATTTTTCCAAAAAAAAGGACGATCATCTAGTAATTTTTTTTACTCGGCCTTAGTGTGGCCAAGTGATCTGCCTTCGAGACTGTGTTTCTCGCAGGGAGGGCACTTTGTCTTATGCTTTGAGCCTATTTTGATCGCTCTAAGCTCTGCAGATGAGACCTACCTATACAATAGGTCGAAACAGCTAGCTGCCCGGCGATTGAGTACCCAGGGGCATCGGGACTCGCAACCGGCGCGGCACGTGCGGCCAAAGCTGCACCTATAATTTCATCTTGTGATTTTCGAAGAAAAACGTGTGCTATCTGGGCCCAATTTTCCCTGGGGGGGGGGGGGGGGGGGCACGTCTTCATGGCCACACTAACGTTGAATATCTTCCGACACCCGTCACTGGTACATGGTATTACACACTCATTCTCCTCACTATTGCCAGCATTGGGTTGAACCCTCATCAGGTAACGTCGGATGCCCGCATAGGATGCTGTGGAGGAGACTGAGACAACACCGGTAATGGGGTTTTCCGTGACCTGCCCGCAGCCGTGCTTGTAGGTCTGTCTGCTAGTGCTGCTTGCGGTAGGATGTCCAACGGTCCGGAGGAGAGACTAGCAATGAGTCACGGGAGGGAGAGCGTGAGAGTGATTGTGTGTGTGTGTCAAGTTGTAATGGCTTCTGCTGTAGCATCGCTATCATCGCCTCCGGCGATGGGCGTCCAATGGTGTGTGTGTGTGTATGTGTGTTTGTGCTCAGCAGGGGAAAGTCTTCTGTGCACAATCATTTGGCTCCTCGTCCTGATTGTTGACAAGTGTATAATTTATTTTGATTCCTGTTTTCCTGTTCTGTGCCGTGCACGTTACGGTTACAAGCTACAGTCGAACGGCTTAGAAGTGGTGTGTCAACGCATTCACAAGCATAACTTGAATGTTCAAAAAGAATACGGACGCATGAGAAACGCAGACACGGCTAAATGCATTCACGTCGTTGAGTTTCATCAGGTCTTACTCAGCTCACTGCAATGTGACTCGCTGGGACATTTACTGAACGTAACGTAACCATTGGCCAAAGGGTTTGAATTCAAAATTTCAAACTGCTGATAATAAAGCCTGATATTCTTACGGATGACGGTCTGAGCAGTGACTAAGTGCGTGCGGCCGGGCTTGGAGCCAACACGTCAAGGGAACATCAAGTATGAACACTTTGAACAGACATGTATGAAATGACTCCCAATGAGACCTCAAGATATTGAATAGGCCATGTGCATGTACTTTCATTGACATCTTTCAAGTACATGTACTGAAAAGAGTAGAGAACTCAATCATTAAAAAAAGAAAAGAAAAAAAGGCTTTCTACCAAGGCAAAAAACATCTTACGACAAAAGACACTCAACTCGTGACAATGTTTCCAGAGAGACGCTAGTCATTTTCATCCGAAGACGAGCTGGATGAAGAGGAGTCGGCCGACAAGTGACCAGGCTCGGCGTTCGCCGGCGCACGGCTGGACGCAGCGTTACCGTTTGCCTCCGAGCTACCGTTGACTAGAGCTGATCCGCTGTGACCCTGAGCAGGCGGATGGCTGGGTGGTCCGTGCGAGTGCAATGGAGAGTCGGAATCTGAACTATCCGAGGAGAAATCACCCTGCAGTAACGAGTGGTTGAAGTGGGAACATGCACACAAAAGCAACAATCTCGATGTGATGTGAGAGGCAGCACAAAGCGAAATAGCAAAAAGCGAACATGACCCTTAGGAAATGAGCACAGTTGTCTGATGGAAGAGGGCAAAAAGAAGTTCAACCCAAGCTCTTACTCCAAAAGACATGCGCACACCAATAATTACATCAATGGCTTGTCAGTTTGAGCACTCTGGCAAGGTACGTTCGGGCTTGGTTTAAATCTGGCTTTGACAAATTTATTTTTCATTGCTATCCAGTTCGGCCTCATTTTCTCTGTGCTGCGCTGATGAGTCCACAGAGGACGAAAAGGTTCTGTCTGCAGATTGAGTACTGGTCACGGTTCTAGCCAAAGGGGGAGGGGGCGGCAGCGGCCCCCTACTCTGTTTGCCCCCCCCCCCCCTACTCATTTTCCGATTTTCGTGTTTTTCATGCAATTCAACGAAAATGCAGTCGAAAGTCACTATTAGATGGTTCAAGAAGGCACCTTTGTCTGGGGCGAAGTCGGAGATTCGCCCCAGATGTTGCATTTAGCGTGGCAAGACAATATAATTATGGAAAGTGGAAAATGGGATACGGGGTAACTGTTTCCCAAGCCCCCCCCCCCCCCTACTATTTTGACCTGGCTAGAACCCTGATAATATTAATCTTCTCGAAAAGATTCAAATAAAGTGTAAGCAGCAGCATTCGGCCCTGTACAGATTTGTCCATGTAGAGGTCGGCTGGAGAGCGCAGTTGTGGTGTGGTGGATGCTGGAAAAGATTGAAGGTGGTGTTTAACCCCGGTTGAAAGCAATTCTGACATGGTCGTCTAAGATAGTGACAAACACTTGGTGAGGGGAGAGGGATAGATAGATGGAGAAAGAGAGAGAGAGAGAGAGAGAGAGAGAGAGAGAGAGAGAGAGAGAGAGAGAGAGAGAGAGAGAGAGAGAGAGAGAGAGAGAGAGAGACAAACAGAGACAGAAACACAGATAGGATTGGCTGTGGGCCGTGAGAAGAGGGCACCAGTGCCAAAGTGATGAAGCTAACCTCATTGAAATTCATAGGTTGCCATTGTGCAATCGGAGGTGACCTGGAGCCGGCTGGACCTGAATCAGTAGGAAACGCACGATACCACAAGTTCAAAGGGGTGGAAAAAAGCAGAGAAAAAAGAAACAAACTTGTAGAAGCAATATGTGCAAAATACTGTAAAGTCTATCAGCCTGTCAAACCCTATATATAGGGTTTGTGGGCTGTTGCCAAAACGCGTACCCGTGCTGCATGCAAACGAGGTACCATGGCAACACAAAATGGCCTCCGATCCCTCCGCGGAAGTCCTGAGGCCCTCCTGACACAAAGATTTTGTCGTTTCTGAAGTTTCTTTGTTTTCCTATGATCGACTTTTGCTTTGCCTTCCTGTAAATTAGTGCTCACTATATATAGGGTTTGTTTCTGTGATGGAGGGCGATCATGCTGCTACCAATTCTGACGACGAGTTTGCGCCTGTCGCGCTTGTGGACACTGTTGATGAGTTTGAGGATCCAGAAACGATATTTGGAACGACAGCTGCAGATCCTGCTCCTGCTCCTGCTCCTGCTGATCCTCATTCTGCTCCAATAAATTCTGGCTGGACCCACGACCTGATGCCAAATAGCGAGTTGCCAGCATTTGAGTCTGATGGGAGTCGCCTCAAGGTGGCTCTGACGATCGATCAGCTGATGGATCCGCTGCACATGTTCAAGCTATTTGTTGACGACGATCTAGTTAAAAGCATTTGCAAACAATCGAATCTCTATGCTGCTCAGGTGGCTGTGGACATCGACTCTCCGCACACTCGTGCCTGGCACTCTTTGGAGCCTAATGAGCTCTATGCCTGGCTTGGAATGGCTGTCAGCAATTCGCTACATCCGTACCCCTCCATGAAAAACTATTTTCGTGAGGACTTTGCTTTCAGCATGCCGCAAATGAGAGATGTGATGAGTATGACCAGATTTGAACAAATCAAGCGTTTCCTTCATCTTGCCGACCGTTGTAAGGAGAAGGCACCAAGAACGGAAGGCTACGACCCGCTGTTCAAGGTGCGCCCACTCCTATCGACATTGCAAGAGAAGTTTACGACATTGTATCATCCTGGTCGAATGGTATCCATTGATGAGATGGATATCGCATTCAAGGGTCGCTCGCAACACAAGTCAAGAATTAAATACAAGCGGGCCGGTGATGGTTTCCTCACCTACTCGTTGTGTGACCCGTCGAACGGTTACACATGCTTCATGGTATTTCAATTCGACAGCCAGATCCCGGTGATGAAGGAGGGCCTAGCCAAGACATTTAATGCTGTCCTGTATCTAGCGTCCAAGCTCCCTTGCAAAGGTCACCATGTGTTCGCCGACAATCTTTACTCTAACGCTGGGCTAGCCCAAGAGCTATTCCGTCGAGGCCACATGTACACGTGCACAGCCCGATCCAACAGGGTACCGGAGAGCTTGAAACAAGAACTTCCTCGCTCCACTGTGGACAGAGCCAACGCCAGGGGCAAAGTGAAGTGGGCGTCCCGTGGTGACGTCATCGCTTTGACCGTCGTCGACGTCAAAGTCGTGCCAATGCTGACCACTGCGCACCGTGAGATTGCCGACGTGGAGTTTACCCGCAAACATCCCGAGTTTGATCAGGAGGCAGGGAAGTGGAAGATGGTGGTGGCGGTTGCAAAGCGTCTCAATGTCATCGACGACTACAACCGGTTCATGGACGGCGTAGATGTTGCTGATCAACTGCGTACAAATTACGAGATCAAAATCAAGTCAAACAAGTGGTGGCATCCGATCTTCTGGTCTCTCATCAACACATCAATCTGCAATGCATACCTCCTTTACAAGGTTGGTATCGCCGACCATGCCGCCGAAGTCATGTCGCACAGCGACTTCCGTGCAAAGCTCGCCGAGCAGCTGGTGCAGTTGTTTCAGCGCCAACATGGCTGCACCAGTGGCAGGAAGAGGAGAGCGTCTACCCAGGCAGCCGTTGAGCGACCGCAGAACCGCACCGTCGGCCAGCACCTCATTGTCCGAGTGACAAGTGAGGTTGCCACAACCAAGCCCCAACGAGATTGTATGCTCTGCAAGGAGAAGGGGAAGAAGGGGTCGCGCAGTGTGTACGAGTGCAGCGCGTGCAACGTCGGCCTCCACCCCGACTGCTTCAAGGAGTATCACACCACTTGAGTTACTCGTGCTGACTCTTTGTGCAAGACGTGGTGTATCATGTCACAGTGTGTAGATACAGTGCATCCCCATGCTCCTTTCCCCATGCTTTAGTTTTAGTTCTTCACCCCGTTTCTTTCGCTTGTTTTTGGATGTGCAATCGCGATTCATTTCATTTGTAGTGACTCTTGCGATGGCTTGAAATCCACACACCTTGCTTTGCCTCTTGCCGTAGTAGTAGCAGTTGTTTTTGGTATGTTTTACCGTTACACCACCTTAGTCATTTTCTCTTGGGCTGTGCTCCTGATTTACACTGGAATATCACGTCTTCCGATGTCGTTAATCACTCGGAAATATCCCTAACGTGAAGTAGGAGAAAGTTTTGGTGTGTTTTGATGAGGAAAACTGATCCAGCAAACCCCAATGGTGCTCAGGTATGACTTACAGTACCAAACCCTATATATAAATCTTGATATCCTGTATATAGGGTTTGATTTGGCCAAACCCTATATATAGGGTTTGCCCATGACAGGCTAAGAGCAAGCATCGTCTAATTGTGACAGTAGTTTGACACACAAACATGAAATTTCATACATGTACTGATCATGTACGTAAATACGATGATCGATTGTTTTGCACGCGAAAATAAAATGATAAACACATTTTCGACCACGTCCCATGTTTATCTGTGACAAACGAACTTCGTTCCATTCCGTACAACATTCGCTCTGACATTTCGCTTGCACTTTCGTAAGTTTGATCCATCCGGTCTTTCAGGCTGCTTTCGATCTTGCCTGCAAGCTTGCATTCCATCGATGTTGACTCCCCAGTTTTCATTGGCGAGCAGTGAAGGAAAGTGCAAACGTGCAAAACAAGACGACCCTGAGTGTAAATGATATAATGCCTCCTTTACAGGCAAACCGAACACAGTAAGGTAAGTTGTATTTTTCGTCGACTGCTGCTTTCCAGTCGTCATCGTCTTGCCTCAATCTACCATCGTGCTAAAGCAGCTCCTTGCTCCACACGAAAAAGTTCAGCTCGGTTTCCATCACCCGAGCTTTTTCCCCTAGCCGCTAGTTTCTTTCCTTTGCCCACTATTAAAGAGAACAAAGCGCCGAGCACAGTAAAGACGATGCTTGGGGAGACAGAATGACAACCACTCCACTGAACTAGCTGCCATGTAATTGGGCGACACCACCCGTTTGGTTAGGCCAAAACAAATAATGACCTTGTTTCCGGTCGGCCGACCGGGCCACTTTTTCCCAAATTCTGAAACTTTTTTTGGTCCCAAACGTATACAAACGGTGGTAATGCCATGTGTGCAAGTGCACTCAACGAGTCATAACTCAGTCAAATCTCAACCAAATTCCACAATCAAAACACCTACAAGGTAGCAGAGATTCTCAGCTGTCGCCTCGAAAACCTATGGGGTCGATACGAGCTAGAATAACGGAGCTGGAAGGACTCGAACTGTTTGCTTGATTTCTCAGGGTGTACGAAAACAGGAATACACCACATGCTGTACAAGAACAGTGAGTAAGTCAACTTTGACATTGATCCTTGCCATGATACATGTATATGTACATGACTAGGTGCTCTTGTCCATCAACACCACAACGATTGAGGAACCAAAAAAAGTATCCAAAAAAAGTTTCACTGCGGCCGACCGAGTCTCCTTTTTGAGGGGTTGCCGACCGGAAACAAGCCTATTTTTTTGTTTTGGCCTTATGCAATTAAAACAAAAACGTACCCACCTACCTACGCATACGCTCGTGAAAATTGAAACAATCAACGTCAGCGGAGAAGCGGACTAGAAAAATCGGTTCCCCGCACGATTTGACCGTGTTTTGCCTCCCTGAGCAATTGCATGCACTGTGATATTGAATCAGGTCACACTCATCAATTATTTTTGATGTGCATGTTGTGGGTCGAACATGTCTCGCTGTTTCGTGCTAGAGGAATCCTGTCATGTCAGGAAGTTTTCCTCTTCACCAAGTCCGTCTGGTAATGGCAGGCTTTGCTGTAGTATATTTCCGAAGTACACAATCATCATCATTGTTGGACTCCAAGATACGGCATGCACAGCTACGAATCCTACTTTGACCTTGTTTCGTAGAGAGATAGTTACTGGGTGCGTAGCAAACGCAAAACAAGTTTTGGAAGTTTGCTAGTGGGAGGTAAACATCACTAAAATACATACCCACTAACAGGTCCAGGTTTGCCAAAGTGCAATATTTAGGCGACGTGAAAGCTCGTCGCTTTTAATACAGTAGAGTTACAAACCAGGGCCATATCTCACCAGCTGTGTTCGATTCGGCTGCGTTGAACGTGGCAGCTGTGCCCGTTGCGTCGGCAGAACTCTGGCTGGTGGTGTGTGGCTTGCTGGCGCTTGCTGTAGTGTCCATTGCCTCCGCTAGACCCCTACCCGCCGCCGCTGTATCCGCTGCACCCGTAGGCGCTCCGAGCGACCCCAGTGAGCCTATACGCATCTCAAAGTCAGACGGGTATGGGCGACGAGGGTCCCCTGGACAAGTTACACATTGCACACACAATTACACTTCCACATCATTATAAGGCTGATGAATTGACCGCCGTGGTCTACACCACACGGCTGCTTGTAGTGGCTTTTTCTGGCCAGTGAATCACTATTTGTCATACTCATACACACACATCCCACAGTGACAGTGAGACGTGCCCACACACACACACACGCATACACACGTGCACACACACACACACACACACACCTCAGACTTCAGACATGCCCATCGCGGAAGCGATGATAGCGAACAGCTATGATAGACATAGCAACTTGTGCTGGGATTACACCATTCAACAGCTTGCAAGGCTGATGAATTGACCGCCACTATTTTTACCCTGGTATCCACCACACAGCTGTTTGAAGTGACTTTTTCTGGTCAGTGAATCCCTATTTTTCGTTTTTCCATTTTTTTCCTACACACACACCACACCACATACTCCGGCATACACTGGCTGTTGGTAACCATCCAGGAGAATGAAAGAAAAGCCAGGAAGAGTCCGAGAAAGAGAAGAAAGACGTGTGCGACCATAATCGTCGGGAATTGAACCCGCAACCTCTCGATTGGAAATCGACTGCACATACCACTGCACCATATGGGACACACACACACACACACACACACACACACACACACACACACACACACACACACACACACACACACACACACACCATGCCTTCATGGGAACACTGCTCGGCGAAGTAGCCGGCGCCAGTGCAACTGGTCAAGCACCCGTTGGGTTGGACTGCCATGCACACAGCAACCGCCAGGCCACAAACATATGCAAAACTCTTACTTCTCGGTATCGAGCGCACTGATTTTCTATCACATCCATCTCAGTGTAATTTTCAAGCACTAAGTTACTACAAGTACATGCCAGATAGGTCCCGAGTGCAAGGCCAAGCATGCCTAAAGTAGGTTTGGGAGAGAATCTTTGGTCTATGATATCCATGTATCAAAAGGATTGAGAGAAAGAGAGAGAGAGAGAGGGGGAGAGAGAGAGAGAGAGAGAGAGAGAGAGAGAGAGAGAGAGAGAGAGAGAGAGAGAGAGAGAGAGAGAGAGAGAGAGAGAGAGAGAGAGAGAGAGAGAGAGAGAGAGAGATAGAGAGAGAGAGAGAGACAGCGAGGGAGGGAGGGGGGGGAGGGAGGGAGAGAGAGGCAGCGAGGGACAGAGAGAGAGAGAGAGAGAGAGAGAGAGAGAGAGAGAGAGAGAGAGAGAGAGAGAGAGAGAGAGAGAGAGAGAGAGAGAGAGAGAGAGAGTGAGAAAGAGATAGAGAGAGAGACAGTGAGAGAGAGAGAGAGAGAGAGACAGCGTGGGAGAGAGTGGGTGGACACACAAAGGCGTCAGCAGCAAACTGACCTGCGGTCAGAGAGAGAGAGAGAGTGAGAAAGAGATAGAGAGAGAGACAGTGAGAGAGAGAGAGAGAGAGAGAGAGAGAGAGACAGCGTGGGAGAGAGTGGGTGGACACACAAAGGCGTCAGCAGCAAACTGACCTGCGGTCCATCCTGGTGGTGCAGCTACTGCATTCGCCTGGCTAATCCGATGTGCAAACTTTACCAGCGTGTCGGCCTTGATCGAACCTACGCGAGGGTGGATAGGACACAAAAATCATGCAAGACACAAGTTACATAATACAGATACTATTAACCCTTTCAGCACGGCCAGGGTGTGTAACTGACCCGCGGAGCCAAAACCAGTGATTTTCGTGATTTTCCAAAAGTAGTCCTATTCACTCACAATTTTTTCTGCGGAATGCATGTTCGCACGCGACATCTATGTACTAGTACGCGTGCATAGCGGCACACGTGCGCCCGTCAGTACTATCGTAGAACAGTCGACGTTCATCCAGCACGTCACTGGTCCACGTAGGGATAAGATCCGTCGACCACGGATGTCTCGGGAGTACGTTCATTTTCACTGTACGCATCACGTATATATACGTGATCCGTGGGCCAGTTACATGTACCATCACGTACATATACGTGATGCGTGCTGAAAGGGTTAACAAGTCACACAAAGCACACACCATGTACCCTTCTCCCCCCCCCCCCCACACACACACACAAAGCCTGCCATGGATCAAAACAGCAGCGGAGTTGCACACTTTTCTGTCTACATGTAATCTGGCGGAACTGATGGAAGGCTCCAAGCAGGACACTGCGCAGTGTATGTGCTGACTGACACGCTGTGTCAAGTATGGCAAATGAGCGCGGGCATGTGGGCACACAGCGTGCTCTAAAGTCCTACGACCAGGAACTGCCCATTCTTTCATACACAAACACTATCTAAAGCATACGATTCACTGGCATATACACATGGCATATACACGGTTTTTGATTTCGCTACAACAGGCGAACAAATCCCAGGCTCCAGATGTACTATAAGAAGTACACTTGACTGACCTCGCTCACTCTGGCTGATGGCATCCAGTTGCTTCTTCGCTTGAAACACGGCTTGGTCCTGTGTAGATGCACAAACCCACACGCTTCGCAATCAAAGATCGTACAGACCGTACCCAAGGCAAACCTTTCGAAATTCTCTTGTTGGTCGATGCACAAGATCAAGACCAACTTAAGCCAGCTGCAACCATGAACAATCATACTGATGACCCTAAATATATTATCATGTTGTGGAGCGTAAAGCAGGACAAAAACCAAGACGAACAAGAGAGCTAATGCATACCAGGCACTGCTGCGCTTCGAGCAGATCTTTCTGCACAGAGCGTACATCCTCAGACACTGAGAAACTGCCGCTGCTTGCTACTCCTTGAGAACTGACGGTGCAACGAGGAATGGCTACGCACGCACACGCACACACACACATGCAAACACACAATAACACACACACACACAAACACAAGAGAGAGAGAGAGAGAGAGAGAGAGAGAGAGAGAGAGAGAGAGAGAGAGAGAGAGAGAGAGAGAGAGAGAGAGAGAGAGAGAGAGAGAGAGATAGAGAGAGAGAGAGAGAGAGAGAGAGAGAGAGAGAGAGAGAGAGAGAGAGAGAGAGATAGAGAGAGAGAGAGAGAGAGAGAAGGAGAGAGAGAGAGAGAGAGAGAGAGAGAGAGAGAGAGAGAGAGAGAGAGAGAGAGAAGAGAGAGAGAGAGAGAGAGAGAGAGAGAGAGAGAGAGAGAGAGATAATATTCTATCTTTCCCTTAGGGACAATGGATGAAAACCCTGGCTAGGAGGGATATTGGAGTTGTGCAATGAACATGTGACATGGTGGCAAGAGAGTGTTCAACATGAAGCTAACCTTTGTCAAACACCTTCTGCAAGTTTGCATCAGCTGCGCCGAGCGATTCAACGAGCTGCCAGCCAAGCAAGACAAACAGCACGGCACACACGATAAAATTGAATTAGTAGAGAGGATCCAGAGTACGATATTCCGTGCCAAAGTCCGTAGAGGCGTCGCGGATTTTTTATATGTCGTTTTCGAGCAGTGAAATGTTCCTAAGTACGGAAAAGATGTGTTTGCCATCATTGCCTAGGTTACGATCGCAAACACGTCATATTCCTGCGCTATGCCTTTTTTATTTTGAAAATTTGTACCGAAGTCAAAACTTCCCGTGGAAAATCGATGTTTCTCGTACCAAATTTGTGCGCGAAAAATCTTTCTGCACTCGGTGAAGCAAAATCTCCATAGGAAACATGGTTCGTATGAAAGCCAGTCCACACGGATTCTCCATGCCGAAAAATCACATGAAGCCCGCCTCGAAAAATCTGTAGCGCCCATACGGATTTTGGCACGGAAAATCGTACCCGGAACCTCTCTATTTACAGAAACACAGCTAAAGTCCAGGCCAGTGAAATCCAACCTCATGAATAAAATAGTGCCGGGCGCCACACGCCATTCATTGCACTCAATCGCGGCGCTACTTTATTCATGAGGTTGAGATTCTCTGACCAGAGCTGTAGCTTCTCGCACTTACTTTTCAGACCCTTCAGACCCATCTTCAGATCCATCTTGATACTCAAGTCTAGACTACGGTCATGCAGGCCAGGTAACTACAGCTGCACTAGAGCCTTCGAAACCATTCCTACAGAACCCGCTCTAACAATCAGAGCACAAAATTTAGCACAAATACTGCAGGCTGCTACCCTGCATGCGCCCGCGCGCACACACACACACACACACACACACACACACACACGCTCGCGCACACACATGCTCTCGCATGCACACATGTGTGCGCGTACGCACACACACACACACACACACACACACACACACACACACACACACACATACGCACGCACATGCTCTCGCATGCACACGCACGCACAGTCACACAGCGTACTTTTGCACAATTCTTGTCCTGCTCGAGCAGTGCAGCTGATCGAAGCGTTGCCGTACTATCTTCTGGAAGTAGACCTTTTGCCAGTTGACTGAAAGAAAACACATCAAAACAACATGAAAGACAACAATCGCATTTATAAAGCGTTTTCGAACTATCAAACATCCTGACACGCTGGCATTGTGCACACCGTCGTACACCGAGCACTATGGCAGCAACCAGTGCCTGTCTCTGTGTAATCAACGGTCGGTTATTTCATGTTCGGATAATCGGTATTCCACTGTGCTTTGAAAAGATGTCCGACCAAACTAGAGAAAGAGAGAGTTGTGCATGGCAGAACACTGTGAGTACTGGGGTACATCAGCCGTTCGGCTTTCCAGCTCCTACTGTCTAGGGTTTTTTTCTCTTTTTTTGTGTTTCGCTTGATTTTTACTTTTTTTACTTTGTGTTCAAATTAATTTTACTAGCATTTAAATTGATTTTTGCATTTCAAAGTAGTTTACTGAATTTGAATTTGTTTGATGATATGCGCAATTCATTTTGCCCGTACAAGAGGCCAGTCCCGTTTCCAGTGGTTTCAGCACTGGCTCTTACTGACTGCACCACTTCCAATGGGACTCTTGAAATGCCTTCCTGAGCAGAGTACATGTAGCTTTGCCATACACACACTCCTCTGTGGGCTCTAATTCTACTACTATTATTCTAGACAGTACGAGAAATACAAGAAAATCCTTCAAAGCCGACAACTTTCAGAATGGACTGTGTAGTACGGAATATCTGGGCCTTTGGTGAGCGCATCTTATGCAGTGAAGTCACCTGACAGCGGTGTACTGAATATTCAGACCAGCTCAGAAGATGAACAAAGGTCGATTTATAATAGGGAAGGAACGAAGAATGAAAGACGATACTTTTGTAAAATGTATTACATGTACAGGGGCATGGGACACGGTACGGTCACTACGGTATTGACCATACCACTCTTTGCCCCAGATACGCCGTGAATCGATAAATGCACTGGTCTGGGCTCTAAACTTCCAAAATGTTCGACTCGGCCACCACTCCCTTATGAGTAAATTGTACTTGAGATGGTTGACCGTACCACACGACAATACGTTCCTACACCCCTGGTATTACATGACATTGTCTTTGAGCGTGTGAGAGATGAAGAGCTGGGGAAATTCCTCGTTGCTCTAGATAGTTGGCTTACCTCACAATCCGGTCATACTCTCCTAACACATCAGTTAGACCCTGGTTTTCTCCTGCCATGACTTACTGCAGTGCACATCAGCTAGGAGAACTGGTGTTTTGATAAACAAAATTTGACTTCGTTGGTCTGCGTGAAAGGGTGAGCGATTCGTAGGAGACTCGGCGCCCCTAACATCTAGCACAATGTTATTCTAGAAAGAACAAAATTGATACTGAGCTGGCCAGAACAGCAGCTTGATGAAAATAGAAAACTGAAAACTTTAGCCCAATGTCAAAAAAATCATCACTGAATCAAAAGTGGAGGCAGTGCTCTTTGACTTTGGACGCGGAATTCGGCGTCACCCCAATTTTGGTAAGTCCATGGCAACCGTTTGGGGCATGCATGATCTGACATCATGTCAGTCATGTACGTCTACGTGGGTCGCAGCTTCCAAGTTAGTTCTAGCTTCTACGTAGAGTTCTACGTGTCGTTCCTGGATTTGAGTCAGCCAGCACGATAGATCAGTCTACACGTGATGTGGATCGATCACATTTTCATATGCACAGAATCATTGCACAGTCAGTTTGATTTTATCACTTTCGGACGTTTTCTGTGGAGTAGCAGGCTTTCTCGATCCGGAGAAGGAGAGACTTTAGCCGAACAGAGTTTCATCTTGGTAACATTGCCTGTGACCTACAAGGAAGCAACTGTACTAGCCGGCCGAGAGACGAGGCAGCCCTGAAGTGAGTTGGCTTTGAAGATGTACGAAAGTAAAACAATAATGTTCGGTGTTCAATATTTCAATATTGCTAGTAAATTTTCAGCCGCTTTTAGTACCTTGTATCTCCTCCCCTGACCCAGTTCGGACGTATTCCTTGTTGAGTCTGGCATTGCCAATCCTCAGCTATCTAAGTTTGAATGGCTCTGAATGGGCGTGATTATTTTATTCGCGCCGCTGAATGTCCTACCATACACTTTTGTCATCGGCTTCGAATGAGACGTCCGGTGTTGCCGTTCACGTGTGTTACAGGTAGCCGTGACAGTTCCCTTTATGTTCGCTGCCAGGTTCCTGGCCGCAAGTGCGAAAAAGTCGCCCAGTATCAAGGTAGGTTGTCACAATTGTAAAATAATTGTTGTTGCTTGGCTTAGATCCTGCACAACTAGCCATGCTGTGATTCTTACACCGCGTTGAGATGTAGCGCGTGTAGCCTATTATAGGCCTAGTAGAATGAAAGTGAATAGACGATCTCGTCGCTCTCGTTTGCTATGTCGAAGTCGTTTGAGGAATATCTCTGGGATGGCGTCCGATGATGAGCGCTCTCCTCCACTTTCTCCTGCTGCAGACCGCATGAAGGATTCAGAATTAAAGCCAGGCGTACCTAAGCCGACACCTGGCGAAGACCCGGGGAAGCCTCCAGACATGGCTCCTAGTAACTCTTGGTTCGGTAAGTACACTGAGGGGGCGCAAAATATTATGTGTGTGCGTTTGAGTTATTGCGTGAACGCTTTGAGATCTTGTGCGAGAGCGAGATTTATTGTTGATCTGATGGGAAAAAATGTGTTTGAATTGTATTATATTCCTTGTGCTAGCGTCCAGTTTTGTGCGCTTCACTTGTAGCTATTGCCTCTACTCAAAACGATGCGGCCTAATTGATCAGTAATAATCATAGCAGAGCCAGGGCATCTTGACTCCAGTATTATCATTATGTATAGAGTACAGTATTTGTACCACTTCTAGTGATATATTGGCTATGGTGATAAAGCACTAAAATCAACAGCCCACGCCAGTGCAGACTGCTGTGAGCAAACATTCAGTTACCAGTACGCAAATACAATAGATTGGAGCAAATAGAGGTACTTTTCCCTTATTTACTGTTTGGAAAATGTGGAGCGTGGTGTTTTACACGTTGCTACATTGAGAAGAGCTCAAGTCCTGAGTGTTGTGGACACCATGGCGTTAGGCAGTGGTAGGTACAGACGTGTGGCTTTCAAAAACTGGACCATCTGCTGAATCTGTGTGAGCCAGTACTCATTGAAGCACTTCGTAACTTGTATGCTATCTGAGATGATCTCTTCAACCTAATTACTGGCTTAAGTGGTTCATTCCCAGTGACTGTGTTCGGAAGTTCCCATGTCACGCAGGCTGAGTAATTTTTCAAGGAACACGCCGTTAGTACACTACTGGGCAGCAGGTGCAGAGTGTTACCATGGTTACCAGCCGCCTGTACTTGTCTGTAAATTGTTTTTACAGAAGTATTATGTTTTATCCAGTTTTTCTACTCTTTGCCGCAAATAGCACCAGCGTTCAACCCGTGTACGTTTCTTCACCATTTCACCGCCAGCATGCTGTATAACTTGAGATTGTTTTGTCCAGAGTACGGGTTTTGTGTCAACTATTCCGGAGGATGGAAACTCACACTTGAGCATGGAGACTTTGAGGCGTTGCTTGTTGAATCATGTCCCACACACCGTAACCTGCAATACAGCCAGGTCTGTGTCATTGTTCGTCAAGGTAGATGGGAGCGAGGAGTATACGCTCCAGCGGATTGCAGTACGAGCAGAAATTTAAAAAAATTGCAGTAAGAGGAAGGGTTCATTTGACATTGAAATGCAGTCAAGCAGTGGCAGTTTGCTTGGACAGTTGGAAGGTAGTATAACTACCTCTAGCGGTAGGTGACCCACAGGCGCACACCTTAAGCTGTATGATGCTGTGTGGCTCGTTGGGCCTCCTGTCCTATGAATACTCAACATGGACTGGTAATGTGTTCAGACATGCAGGCGCATCCCCAGTCGGTCAGCTAAAATACTGCAAATCAATTTATTATTATATGTCGTAAGCGAGTAATATTCGTAAGCTGAGAAAAAGAACACTTCGCAGTCATCTAACTTCCGTGAATCCCATCGATCGGGGGCTGCTACAAGTACATGTATAGAGTGCTGTACAATGAGTGTGACAAATTTTAGTAAGCGTTTTAATTTCGTAAGTGGCGAGAGCCTTACGAAATTTACGAAATTAAAACGACTGCGAAATATAATTGACTTACAGTAACTGCTGCCTGTCGTCATGTGTTTGAGTTTTCGATTCCCTTTTCCCGATTCCCTTGTGAGTGTTTGCTTGCTGTGTGTCATATTGATGGCGTGACCTGGTGTGATGTGTGTGTGTGTTTCTGTTTGCTTTCAGCTGGCCTGGAGCTGAAGTACGTCAGCTTGATTATTCTCACCTTCCAGAATGCCATTCTGATTCTTTCTGTGCGCTACACGCGTACGCTAGAAGGGAAAATGTACATATCGACGACAGCCGTCGTATCTGCGGAAGTTATGAAGGTTGCGTTTTGCATTTGCGTTCTCATCTCGCAGCGCCGAGGTGTGTTTCGTTTCCTTGCACTACTCAACGAGCAGGTATTCCAGAACTGGCAGGACACACTCAAGCTGTCCATACCAGCCATCCTATACACACTGCAGAACAACCTACAGTATGTGGCCGTTTCCAATCTGAATGCAGCCACATTCCAGGTAGGTCTCCCTCTGTCTCTTTGTCTCCCTCTCTATGTATCTGTCTGTCCTTCTTTTTACTGTTGTAGCAAGTGAAATCCGACACTTGCCATAGGGGACAGCACCACAAATGGACACCAATGATGTAATGCACTGCACCTAATTTGTACAATAGAGCCGTATGTATCCCAAACAGGTCGAAAGGTCACAGCATAGATACACACAGTTCACAGACATGGTACACATGAGTCAGTATTGGTATCCAATCCTCATTCATTTTTAAATGTTGCCAGCACCTTTTGAACCTTGACTGTGAACCTTGACTGTGATGAGTACGAGTTTTGTCATCAGACAGATAAAAGTTGTATGTAACACATGTACTGTACGTATGCAGGGCTGCAACTGCATGGTGCAGTTCCTTATGCCAAGTGTCGGATTTCACTTGCCACACCTGTAGTTCACTTGGCATGCACTGACGAATGTACTACCACCAGAGCACCCTGCCTCGATCTACATGTACTGCCAGGGAAAGGAAAATCATTTCTCTGGAGCATTCAAACTGCAGGGAGGATGTGTGATTTATCAGAGCATTGTTCTCACGCGTGCGAACAAGCTATACCCATTAACGATCATGGAGACACCCGGCCGACCACTGTACTTCAAATACTTTTGCGAAGATTGGTTTGTGTATGTGTGTCTGTGATATGCTGTGTATTGTATGCAGGTGACGTATCAACTAAAAATCCTCACCACCGCCATCGTGTCGGTTATTTTGCTTGGGAAGGTACTCACAAGAATACAGTGGACATCTCTTGTCATTCTGTTTGTTGGAGTGTGCATGGTGCAAGTGCAGGTAAGTATGTTGGTTATTGATGATTGTCTGCCCAACGTCTCTCTCTCTCCCTCTCTCTGTCTTTCTCTCTCTCTCTCTCTATCTATCTCTCTCTCTATCTATCTCTCTCTCTCTATCTATCTATCTATCTCTATCTATCTATCTACTCAATTTCCGGACAGAACTGTTTCAAAGAGTTGGTGGACAGGCCGTTGATTATCCACTCTCATTGCAATATCAAAAAGTATTCCTTCTTGACCAAAGAGTGGTATATTTGATAAAAAATAATAAAGATAGAAATTTGAAACTCGGGTATTGAGCCAATAATAAAAGTAGAAAGGAAAAGGACATATGGAAACGAGTTAAGAGTAACTCTCCACCACCGTAACTAGATACTAAACACAGTCAGAAAGTGCAACAACTAGGCACTGTATATAGTATCTAGTTACGGTGGTGGAGAGTTACTCTTAACTCGTTTCCATATGTCCTTTTCCTTTCTACTTTTAAAGATAGAAATAGTTACGATACTTCTCTCTGGAGAAGTATCGTAACTATTTCTATCTTTGAAACTCGGATGTTGAGCCATAAATAAATGTGGAAGAGAAAAAGACATATGGATACGAGTTAAGAGTAACTCTCCATTACTGTAACATGATACTATATACAGTCAGAAAGTGCAATAACTAGGCACAAAACTGACAGAGTACTGAAACATTCGACGTCCTGACACCTAGCTTTAACACATCTCCGTAGCGCTAACCGACAGCCTTCCAACTTGGAAGGTTCAAGGTTATGGAAAAGACCAAAGAGGGGAAGGCAAGCGCAACGAAAACGAGCAAAAGCCACAGTCCCAACGGAACAAAGAATGTCTTTCTTTACTTATCTTTGATATTTATGACCCACCCAAGTTGGGTGGTGTGCTGCTTTGCTGCTTCGAATTGTAGTTAGACCGCTTTGTCAAATATCGTACTGGTCTCGTCATCGTCCAGTAACAATCGACATTCTTTGTTCCGTTGGGACTGTGGCTTTTGCTCGTTTTCGTTGCGCTTGCCTTCCCCTCTTTGGTCTTTTCCATAACCTTGAACCTTCCAAGTTGGAAGGCTGTCGGTTAGCGCTACGGAGATGTGTTAAAGCTAGGTGTCAGGACGTCGAATGTTTCAGTACTCTGTCAGTTTTGTGCCTAGTTATTGCACTTTCTGACTGTATATAGTATCATGTTACAGTGATGGAGAGTTACTCTTAACTCGTATCCATATGTCTTTTTCTCTTCCACATTTCTATCTTTATTAATTTTTATCAAATATACCACTCTTTGGTCTAGAAAGAATACTTTTTGATAGAACTGTTTCGTCCTTTGTCACCCCCAACATCTATCTATCTATCTCAGCCCCGGCGCAGGCAAAACATTGTTGGTTGGGTCGATCGGCTGGTTTTGAAAGGAAACTAAAACACCGCAAGTATGAATGCTCTGAATTACAGGCAACCCCTAGTTGCCGGCACTGCCCAGTCTCAACCTGCCAAGATTAGGCAAGTTTTAATGTACGTATACCTTCTCTGTTTTTTTCTCTCTTCCTGTGTGACTGATTCACTGCCTTTGACTGTGGTGTGTGCTGACCTGTATGCTGTGCTATGCAGCTTCAGAATACCAAGGAGCCTTCAGTTACTGTAGCGCCGACTCCTATGCAAGATCCATTGAGAGCAGCAACAGCTGGCAGCTCTGCACCGCCGTCCAAGCAAAATCCTATCCTGGGCCTGATAGCAGTCATCATCTCTGCTTTCTCATCCGCTTTCGCCGGCGTGTACTTTGAGAAGATTCTAAAGGGCTCCGCTCAAGTCTCTGTGTGGATGCGTAACATCCAGCTTGGAGTGTTTGGTACTGTCATCGGGCTTGTCGGCATGCTGATGAACGACGGCACTGCAGTTGCCAAGAATGGCTTCTTCTATGGCTACACTGGCTGGGTCTGGTTCGTCATCTTCATGCAGGCGTTTGGCGGTCTCCTTGTTGCTGTTGTTGTCAAGTATGCTGACAACATACTCAAGGGCTTTGCCACATCCTTGGCAATCATCCTATCGACGGTAGCGTCGCTGTATCTCTTCCCAGACTTCCGCGTCTCTTTCACTTTCTTAATAGGAACGTCTCTTGTCATCTCGGCTGTCTACCTATACGGGAAATTTGATGGCAAGCAGCCATCCAGTGTGCTCCCCGTGAGCAATCCCAATGCAAACCCGAAATAACATGTAACTTTACTCGTCATATGGTTGATCATCATTATGCAGGTAGTGGTAGTATGACTTATTTTCTTTCTGTTCTTACATCCTTCCATGTTTTGGTGAAAGTTCCCGTTCATGCGGGCATGATTTCACAGATGGTGATTACCGTAGGACAGGTACTTGCTTTGCATGGCCCATGTTTTAGCGATTGTGCCAAGTAAGTGCACGTGGCACAGCTTGCCATCCTTGAGAATAGTTACTTACTTTGGCCAACTTTCGACACTCCGTCTGCATGGACACATGACATCCCCGTGTCTTGTTTACGCATGTACGACTGGCACTATGGGTGCTTGTATTCTATTTATTAGCTTTAAAATCAAAGTGCTCTAGGATTATTTTTGCACTACCCCTACCCCTCCTCCTTGATGCGATATGGCTTTTGGTGGTAGTTCTCCGGGCGTATATACGTAGCTGTCCACAGAAATATTTGTCATCTCTTTGTGATCGCTTTTACAAGCCACCTGCCACTCTCTGCTGGCCAATAGTACTTTTACCTTCGTTCACCTTCCTCCTCTCCCTCCTTGCAGTGCGCTTGTCCAATTAGAACTTATTCAACATCGGGTTTTCACTACAGAATGCGTCACACAAACTCCTAATACTCACGTTAACAATTGATTTTATTATGTTCTCTTCCAACTCTTCTTGTTTTCTTTGAGAAGTAGTCGAAGCGATGCTGTCAGATTGAAGTCAATGTCAATTTCACGATTGGAGAAAGTACAAAAGAAGAAAAAACCTAAAAAAATAAAAATAGTGTGTAACCTAAAGTCTTGACTGTCCGGTGTGTATGCATGGCTGGGATCACCCTATTTCCGGAGCATACTTCTAGCTGTCCCAGCATAACTAAGTTTGCGGCTTGCGATTCACAAAAGGAATAATTTGCTCCGGGTGAACATTAATCTGCGAGTCGTTCCCAGGAAGGCAGCTCAGCTCCCAACTACTTTAGAACCGCACTGGAAAGAGCCAAGACGACTAGACTGCAGAAACAAACCCTGGAGAGAGCCAGGCGTTTGGTTTAAAAAAAATGTTACTATCAATTGTGCGCCCGCACACAAGCATAGAGAAAGCAATTCGGACACAGGCTAAACAAGTGAGCTCCGAGACATGCACGTGATCATGCATGGGAACCTTGGAGGGGAAGGTCTGTCCACAATCATCCACGAATAATAATAGAATACTTTGAAACGTTGGTTACCGACAAAGACAACAAAGAATGGTTTAGGTATCAACTGGTCAGTTGGCAAGACACCCTGGCGAAGACGAGACAGAACGCTAGGTAGACCTGCACCACAAACGCACAGCACCTCACATAGATCACAAGTTGGTACCGATACTTGGGCTAAACCAGCCGCACACCGGGCCGCTCATTTCTTCTGCTGTGCTTTGGTATGGAGGATGAGTGGCTGAAGGCTGGAGAGAGGTGCTGCTCGCTTCAAGAACGGATGCTGCACAATAGGCAGATAGAGGGAAAAAAAATGACAACAGCTTCTGATCAGCCTGCAGGAAGGTATGCCTTATATCAGTTATCCCATGACGGCTTGTGCACGGTGTGTATACGGTGCATGATATCAGGGACAGCATGCATACATGTACATGTACCTGTTACTGTAGTTCTGCCATGACGTGTACATGTAGAGTAACGCTAGCTGCACATGACTGTGCAGGACGGTCAAAGCGAGTCGTGGCAGCTATTGAGAGAGTGAGGGTGCGTGCACGCATGTGTGTGTGTGTGGGGGGGGGGGGGAGTGAGAGAGAGAGAGAGAGAGAGAGAGAGAGAGAGAGAGAGAGAGAGAGAGAGAGAGAGAGAGAGAGAGAGAGAGAGTGAGTGAGAGCTCGAAGCACCTAAATACAGAACCATATTATAGAGGTACAGTAACAGAAAAGGGAGCTACAGTATAAGAGTGCACACACCACCAACCCTCACTTCACACACATGTCCTGCACACACCACCAACCCTCACTTCACACACATGTCCTGCACACACCACCAACCCTCACTTCACACACATGTCCTGCACACACCACCAACCCTCACTTCACACACATGTCCTGCACACACCACCAACCCTCACTTCACACACATGTCCTGCACACACCACCAACCCGTGAGCAACCCCACACAATCCCTCACCTGAAGAAGCTCCTCAGCGCTGCCGCGGTTGTCGACCTCAATCTCTAAGCTGCGCTGCAAGAACTCCTTGAAGGAGCCGGAAAGGCGCTCAGGGTGCTGAAGCTGTGGCGTGCCATTGGTTGCGATCAAATACAGTGCCTGCGTGCAGCAAGAAAAAGCACCCATACATACAGACAGTCATGCTGCGTAGCTACTGTGATAACAATCACCATGGATACGGACAGCACGCTTCCTAGCTACTTTGAAATATTGTACTATAACAGTTAAGTACACACACAGACCACTTGTAGAAATCCGTTTCAGTCATATATTGCCGGGAGGACATAGAGAAACATACGCATGCTCCCTGCCTCCTTCGGACCTGGCATTACCGACACAGTGGTAACAACTCCGTGCCCCAACTCTTTCAATTCTGCAGACATCACATACTTACACGTAGTGGGTTTTCATTGAGGTACGGAGGTTCTCCTTCAATCATTTCAATTGCCATGATGCCTAAACTCCAGACATCCACCTACAGCAGCAGCAGCAGCAGAAGCAGCACAGGCAATCATAGTTACACCCAGCCAGAGTACGTATCACCGATGGCCTTCGGAATGCAGTGCAGTGCGAACACAGAGCAGACAAACACATTGTCTGGCCTTAGAGACATTAGTAACCTAGAGCCCCGACCCGTCTCTTTTAGACCTTACTTCGCCAACAACCATGCTCCACGGACGGCTAATAAACGCTTTCGGCCAGTGAGGCCTCATTAGCGCACCCCGGGGAAGGTGGTCACTACACACAGACATATTAAAAATAATCTCTGAAGGTTGCTGGTACAAGATGCACTAAAAGCCAACAAATTTCCAAAATTTGAGGCTACAGTCTGTCGGGCGCCAAAGCACTGGGGGTCAGGGGTCTAGCCTAGCCCGTTCTTATTTTTAGTGAACACAGCAGTTTCATTCTTATTCAATGGTTATTCTTACATGCACATTTATGCAGAGTTATGCGTCTGAGCGTACATTATAGTGTACATTACGGTTTCCGTTCTTATCTGCCAAAAAATCAGCCTAGACTGTTCTTAAAAATTGGTGAAATTCTAGCCTGGCCGTTCTTCGGCGCCTGACAGTACTGTAGGCACCCTTTTCCTGTGCTCCTCTAATTTATCAATAGTATGCCTGTCAGCCAGCACACAGCACACATGCCCGGGACTGCATCAAGTACACACAAGCGTGTACTGGTGGAATCCTGATAATTCGAATATGGCTTAATTCGAACATACCGCTTTTAATAAGAAGTTTTTCCAGGACCGATTTCTGTCAATACGATTCCCACATAAATTGTTCTGATAATTCGAACCTCGAACCGGATATGTCCGATTAATTCGAAGTTCCACGGATTCCGCTTACATAGAAAATGTGTGGGATTTGTGCTGATAATTCGAAGTTAGCAAAGTGTAATTCGAAGTTCACTGTACACTGTACTGGTCAGTTCAGTTTGCATGAGCAGGCTGTGCTGGTCAGTTCAGTATCCGTGAAATCTGTGTCTAAGGTCCATAGCGCAACTCTGCGTGACCATGAGAGCATTTTGACATACATATTGTGTTGTGGGTTCATGTTTGGATAATTAGAATGTTCGGATAATTAGAAGTTTTTTCCTGGCATTTTGAGGTTCGAATTATCAGGATTCCACCTGTATAATGTACACTGGGTGGCAGCGGCTATGACCAGGCTCTCAAGACCAGGGCCCAACTGACAGCTGCAAGAGTGGACAGCAGGGAGCATTGTCGGCAGCGGAAGCTGTGGCGTACCTTAGGGCCATACTGCTTCCTTGTAACCACTTCAGGCGCCATCCAGTAGGGCGTGCCCACCATCGTCGTCCGCTTGCTTTGCTCAGGAGTGATTTGAGCACAGAAACCGAAATCAGCTGCACACAAGATAGCGAATACCGGCGACAAATAAGTGCATTGCAATGGGAGAAAGTTTAAACAATAACCTACACACCATCTACAGTAAAACCTGTAACTAAAGACCACCGTGACTAGCAACCACCCTGGTACTACAGACCACCGTGACTAGCAACCACCCTGGTACTACAGACCACCGTGACTAGCAACCACCCTGGTACTACAGACCACCGTGACTAGCAACCACCCTGGTACTACAGACCACCGTGACTAGCAACCACCCTGGTACTACAGACCACCGTGACTAGCGACCACCCTGGTACTACAGACCACCGTGACTAGCGACCACCCTGGTACTACAGACCACCGTGACTAGCGACCACCCTGGTACTACAGACCACCGTGACTAGCTACCACCCTGGTACTACAGACCACCGTGACTAGCGACCACCCTGGTACTACAGACCACCGTGACTAGCGACCAGCCTGGTACTACAGACCACCGTGACTAGCGACCACCTTGCTACTACAGACCACCGTGACTAGCGACCACCCTGCTACTACAGACCACTTCGCCAGGCACGGACGGTCTCACATTCATGTATGGTTGTGCGGTGCAAACCTCTAACTAAGGACCACCTGCCACTAAAGAAGGCTTTCTCTGGCCCCAAGGGGTGGTTGTTAGTCACAAGTTTTACTGTAAATCATCCTACCAACTCTACCAGGACCAAACAACCGGCCCAGAGGACACCCTCGCTTGCACAAAGAAAACAACAAGCAAGAAGAGAATACATCTGCCGTTATCATTTTACAGATATTTTACAGATCAATTATAATTGATAGGTAGAGTACTGCGGTGTTGCGTGTCGCTGCAAATTCCGTTGAGAAACCCTGGCTTGCAAATAGACAAGATGGCATGCATGGGGAGGACTATGACGCTTCTCTATTTCTTTCCTTGGCACTGGTAGGTGGAATTCTCTGCCTGTCTCGTGTCGTCAAGTTGACCATCTATCCGCTTTCGTTTCGCTCTGTGAAGAGCACTTAGGGTTTCCAGTAACAAGACGGCAACGTCTGTAGGGCCTTCCCTATCAAAATATACAATTATACTACTACTATTCTACGCAGATAGCAACAGGAAAGGTGGCCAGTGCATAAAAATGCGGGACATCTTATCCGAACAAATAAACTTAAGCGACTTGCTGCATTATCCGCTGTCAGGATGGCCGAGCGGTCTAAGGCGCCAGACTCAAGGTCTTATGCACCTTCTGCAGTCAACGCAGATTGGAGCCTTCTGGTCCACGTATGTGGGCGTGGGTTCGAATCCCACTTCTGACAGATTCTTTTTTTTGTCTTCAGCCATACCACGTTGAAAATACCGGTCCTCGTCCGATCACCAAAGCAACGTTGTATTATTATCTTTCCGTGTCTAGATAGCACTGCTGTCCATACCAGCCCTGTACAAACCCAACCAGCAAATGCAGTGCCTATATATTTTGTAGCAGTGGGAGCACATCTGAATGCACATTCCCACAAAGTGAAGTCTGATCGGGTGTTCCAGTGTACTGTATGGGGCCGTAGAGCGGCACGATGTCCACACACTACGGTCAACCAGGCCAGTTCTCGGCGTTGAACCATGTAACCATGGTAACACTTACTGAGCTTGACACTGCCATCCATGCCGAGGAGAATGTTATCGCTCTTGATGTCGCGGTGGATCACGGAGTTCTTGTGCAAGAATGCAAGAGCTTGCAAGCACTGCAGCATACACCAACAAACCAACACGCACACAGACACACACACATTTTGTGTAGGTCATAAACTACATGTTCGAACAGTGCCCGTCCATAGATAGAGTTCGATATTTTTTTCTCAAAGACGAGACGAACACAAAGGCGGAACAGGATATGGTATGTTTTTTACTTTGTATTAATCTACCGTATCTCCATTACACGAAGCTGTGTATCAATAATAAATAATAATAAAGACGAGACGAACAGGGCCCAAACCACCTCCCCCCCCCCCCCCCCAACGAACGAATATCTTCTCTAAAAAAATATAGATATTTGTGGACGACCCCTTACACGCTCCAAAAAAAAAAGGTTTTAGTTGACAAAGACAGGGATGGGGGAGTGGATACATCAATAGGGACCTTTCGCACCACGCGTACGGATACGAAACGAATGCTGATTCGTCACCTGGGTTCGAGGATTCGTCAGAGTCCCTGCGGAGAGCTCGTTTTCACGAATGGAAGCCTCTTCATTCGTGACGCGCTCCGAATCCGTCAGGTACACCTTTATTCGGCCACCTACATATGTTTCGCCAGGTACACATTTTTTCCCTTGATTCCATGATCCATGCACGTGTGCGTGTAAACACCCGTACGCCAAGCTACTGGCCGTATTCATAGTTGCCATGCACATTTGCACGACGACTTGCGAAAACTGAATCTGATTTCAACGAAACAATTACGAACCGAATCAAACTTTCGTTTCGCATTCGATTCGTAGCAAATGCGAAAGGTCCCTATTATAGGTAACACGCAACGGCTTTGGCTAGAGGCATGTCCAGCATAGCTGCAGTAACAGCACATCATGGCATGGTAGCTAACTGCAGCAAGCGGGCACACTGTCTTTGGTGTACAGCCTAGATATGTTGAGTGATTCCTGACGTCACAAAGACCGAAACGTTGACATACATGTAACTACTGGGTTTAGTGTGAAAATGCAATGTTCATTAATTTTAAGCGTAGGCGAGTTGCACGCAAACAATTTAGATAATTATGTTGAGCTTTTGAGTAAAAACAGCTTTTCTTTTAAATTTACACGATACAGGTTCTCTATATTTACTGGTAAGAGCTAGCACAAGAAGCAACATACCTCTCTGCACACAGCGGCAATCTGTCCCTCATCCATGACTGTCTCTGTGACCACATCTGTCAAAGAGCCACCGGCCAGGTACTCCATCACAACCTTGCAACCAACACAACCACGAATTACAAGAGAAGGAGTTCAGTTGCGTAAGGTACAAGCCCCAATGAGACACACTCCAAGAGTTTGGTAAAAGAGAATCCACGGCGAACTAGGGTCTCGGCATGGGGAATTGAACGGCAAGAATAAAATACACATCTGGAACTAACGTCTGTGTGTCACGGTTTTTGACTGGGCCAGAGAAACGCAGCACTGGAACCAGCACAGCATTACACTGGAAATATAGCAGCACAGGCACATGCTGATTGTGCTGTTGCAGCAGCAGCAACAGCAGCACAACATGCGGCAGCAATCTGACTTACCCACAGTTCCTGGTTGCTGTTATCTCCTAGGACAAGATAGCTGTCTAGGTAATTGACAATGTTAGCATTTTTGTTTTCCCTCATCACTAAGATCTCATTGATGATAAGCTCCTGCGCGTGTCAACAATCAAAGACAACAACAGCAAAGCAATATCAGAGCTGAGATAGTTTAACACTTGCTAGCTGTGCCCTTGTACTCCAAATTATCAGTAGCACTCGTACAAGCTAGCCGGCTGACGTGATGACAAAGTGCAAACATCCCTTACTTCTGTTAGGTACCTCCTCCCGTACAATCTTACCTACAACCTTTCCTAAGCTGGCCGGCCTGCATGCACCCGTACTACGTCATACTCACCTTTCGTTCCGTTGGCCTGGGTAGCTACTTGCGGACCATCATTACTACTGGGGTCTGGCAACACTGGCACATACACGCCAGGAGAGTTAATCTAGTCTAGATCTCACCTTCTTAGGCTGCTGGTGTAGTATCATCTGCTTGATGGCAACCTGAGCAACCCATACAAACAATATACTACTTTCATCAGTTTCATCACAGTGACTAAGAGCACAGTGACCAAGAGCCGTAAACCGTGAAACCTTCGCGACCTGGGACCAATCTCAATTTTGAAATCGAAAAAAGTTAGCCAGCGCGAATTGACTCCAATCGCAAACACCCCCCCCCCCCCCACACACACACACACACCAATTCAACACACTAGATGACTGGGTTTGCTCCATCATAACTGTAGCCACAGTTACAATCAGCGTCTATTTGAGGGCCCTGGGCAGCTGTGCCTCGTATCAATATTGAAAAAGAGAGCACATCAACTACCAGAAACATTCCTTCAAAATCAAAAACCTCATTCAATAGATTGTATTGAAGAGTAGTCGCAAGAAAATCCTACCCTTTTAACACATACATAAATAAGAAGAGACGACCAAAGGTTTTTTTAAATCATTGCGCGAAATCGCGCATCTATGAGCGACATCCACATAAACTGCTGGGACCATGGTTGTGTACTCGAATCTCATTCTGAGCGCCCTTTTTCTTCCTTTTTTCAGCCGTTTTTTTGCAAAAAGTCCTTGAGCTCGATTTTTTTTGATCGATCGTTCTTCAAGGAAAGACGAGTGGACAATCGATCAACAGGGCCGAGGACGAATGCGTCTGGTTGGAGTTCTTGCGTGGCACAGGATGATCAGACACACATATAGATACAATTGTGATGATCTAATCTCCACAGTGTTTCCTAATACTGCACGCACGACGGTAAGTACAATTCATGTGATTTCAAATTGTTTGTGATCTACGTCGCGAGCAGGACGGAAATACAGCAACAGCACGGCAACCGTTATACCAGGCAGTAACCAACAGTCACCTCCATCACATTCTGCAGATCAGAAGGCAAGTGAGGCAGTGAACATGAAGAAATAAAGTATGAAAGAATGAAAAGTGAATAATTCAAAAATCTCAGAAACGTTGAACGTAAAAAAAACACTGAGAACAAGGAAAGTGACTTGCTTCGATGGCAAAAGACAAAGCGAATGTTCCTCGTATGGACCTGGCTCTTGCGGAGTCAACCACACTGTGAAACCATGTGTTTGATTCTACAAGGGATGGCTACCTGCTCCTCACCAACCAGCCTCCACGACGGTGGTAAAGTCGCCAAAAATACGAAAGTTGAACATTTTCTGCATGCATGCAATAGAAAAATTGTGCTGAGTATGTCGAGTGGCCATTCGAACAGGACAAAGCCGTTGCGCAAGCTGTGACCCTGAAATTTCGTACATTGGTAGCGAGGGTAACCCTGAGCTGGAAAGTGTAAGGGATGGCATGCTACACTCCCCCGCATACGCTTGACAGCACGATTTGAGGCGTGGAGTAGTAATATACCAGTATCTTACTACCCCCTGATACCTGATGCATGGACGTCGTCATCTTCATCCCGCAGATCGAAAATGTGCAGGTGTCGCGTGATTTCGCGCAATGAATAATCCCTGATTCTCCATCCGAGTTTACCACAGCAAGTAATTAGTTTCATTGATACACGATAACAACCACTCTTCCTTATGCTGTACATGTACATGCACTTTAGATTACCTCGTGCCCAGTTGATACTTCCACAGCTGTGTAGACTGTGCCGGATGCTCTGCACGCACGCACATGCACGTAAGCACACATACACACACACACACACACACACACACACACACACACACACACACACACACACACACACACACACACACACACACACACACACACACACGCATGCACGCACGCACGCACGCACACACACACACACACACGCACACAAGTCATGTGAACACAATCCGCAAGAAAAGTTAATTTAAAACGTCGGTATTACACTGGGTTTCTTTTGCTGGAGTAGTCAAAATGTAACAATCTGCAGGGAAGCTATAATGGAATAGCCTATTCCATGTTTGCCAACACTTGTGATCATGCAAACATGGTGCTTGCACACGCCACTCTCTGCCCTGACGGTTGTGCTCAATATCAAGCACACACGCACACACGCACACAAGCATACATACATTCATACATACATACATACATACATACATACATACATACATACATACATACATACATACATACATACATATAGCGGAGTCCTCCGGATCGATAGAGTGCTCAATGCGGAAGCAGAGCAGTAACACACGAGTCACAGAAAAACCACGCGTCTTGATTGTCGTAATTTAAAGTTTCATGCCATATAGCAATCTTCAGACAACTGATTACAGTGATGCACAGCTAGTGTGGTATTTATACAGCAGCATTCTCACTCACGGACCATGTGAGTTTGGCACATTTTCCATCCAGGACTTTTGCACCCACCAGACCTCAAACCTTCACACATTCCTTCCTATGCTGCTGTATAAATACCACACTAGCTGTGCATCACTGTAATCAGTTGTCTGAAGATTGCTATATGGCATGAAACTTTAAATTACGACAATCAAGACGCGTGGTTTTTCTGTGACTCGTGTACATACATACATACATACATACATACTCAATCTGCGGACAGAACTGTTTCGTCCTTTGTGGACTCGTCAGCGCAGCACATACATACATACATACATACATACATAGATGTATGTTACAGCCACAGACAATCTGATGCAGAGGTATATTGATTACTGAACATAGCACACACCACACAGTGGCCAGGCGCATAGAGCTGCAGCCATTTCCCCGTGCGAGCTTACCCTTGTCCAATCTTCTCCATCTTGGTGTATTTTCTTCGTGGATCTCCGACAGACACGATCTGGCCTGAAAAGCCACACAAGAGAAGACAGCAACACTGTAAGGTCATACCTTCAGCTCCATGCACATTGACTCTTCACAATGCACAGTGCACACTGACTCTGCACACTGCACACTGACTCTACACAACGCACACTGACTCTACACGATGCACACTGTGCCACAGAGCCACTGTGCTACGATGTGAAGGACCTGCTGCAAATGAAAGCGCTTCTGACTTCTAGCTTACCACACAGACCTCTGCAAACCAGCGAAGCACTGACCTACTTGGAATCTATCAAATAATTCAGCACACCTTAATGTACGTCTAAAGGCTCCACGATTTAACACTGCCACAAAACCCTTGTAGTATTACATAAGAATGATAACCGCAACTCGCATTTTTCTCGCACAACGGCACGCGTGCTTGTAGAAATACACTTAACAAATCGAGGTTCACCCATCTATCACAACTTACGTAATCTACTGATAATTTCCTCATCCGACATCTTTGGTTTCTTCTGTTTGGCAGCAGCTCCTGCGGTGACAACACAAGCAGCATAAGCCGAATTACTAAAACACAACCCACAGCAACAAAATCTGCACATAATATCCACGTACTTGTCAGAGGGAGGTTTACACGAGAGCGCCAAGCCCAGACCCACTCTCCCTATGCACGTACCAGTGCATACTGAATGTACTGCAGCCAGTGACAAGCACATTAGCAACAGTGTAAGATACTCTGACTTGTGACGGGATGTCCCAAATGATCCTTACCTCCTCCAGCCTGTGCAGAAGTGGGTGCTGTGGTCGGTTCTTTCTTAATCGGCGGCGGTGGAACACCCGTGGGCGGCGGCTGTGAACGAAAGCACAAAGCAGACACAATGTTGCCACTTTCTGTTTAGAATTTCCTACCCAAGAAGCAGCCGAACGCACAGCACTGAATGTCAGATATTTGCCGTTCCCTCCGACCTAACCCGGGGGTGTTGTACTACCGTAACGTCCTGTTGACCCCCCCCCCCCCCCCATTGCACACATACACACACATACCAACACACACACACACACACACACACACACACACACACACACACACACACACACACACACACACACACACACACACACACCAACACACACACACACACACACACACACACACACACACACACACACACAAACACACGAAAAACAGAGATGCATGCATCGGCTCAGCATTGTATTCTGGTATGGACATTGAGGTCGTGTCACATGCTGAAAATCGCCAGGTGGCGGAATTAGATCGGGGGCGAATCAACGGTACTTTTTGGCAATATCAATATCAATATGAGGAGATTATATGCAAGTTATCCTTATTGCATATAACATCTGTAAAGTATTTGACCGACTGAAATTCTTTACCTTCTTAGCCATAGTGGCTTCAGGCCGCTGGGGTATACTTGGGGGAGCATCGCTAGGCTGCAATACAGGCATCCAAAAACAGGAAAACACAAATGAAGGAGAAGGTAAAAGAAAAGACGATAGGCGTAATATTGAAACGCTTGGCTTGGACGCAAATGTTGCAGTACTGTGTAACATTATGAATGGTATGATGATAGCACCTCACAAGGCCCCGAGGAAACATTGTATGGAAAACAGTGTTCCTAACTGCAAACAGAGAGAGAGAGATTTGTACAGTGTCACTGTGTCACTGTGTCCTCCTCCCTGTGACGCAATGCCATCATCATCATCATCATCATCATCATCATCATCATACCTGGTAA